GATGGAGCCTACAATTTTCCTGGGGACCTAAAATAGCAATGGTATATTGGAGGGAATCAGCGCCTTCAATGGGATGGCACACGGCGTAGAAGTAACCAAACTATCGAAGGATTCCAAAAGAAGGTAACCTGATGGTGTAACTCACTTATATGTTTGCCGTTCTCGGACAGAAAGTCACTCGTTATCCCTTCACCTCACCACAGGGTATAGAGGCTCCATTAAGTCCAAAGCAAGCGGAGATTCCCACTTACAATTAGTTGCCTCACCGCCGCGTGTCACGTCGGGGTTATTTACCCAGGGGCTCAGCATACTTTACGGGTGTCTTCACCCCCGTTTGCATTGCCAAGCTGACAGAAGCCAACCTATGCGCTGTATAAATGCACCAACCAATTTGAAGTGGAAGGTTGGATCCCTAAACCCACAAATCAATAACCCGAGGGACCAGAAGCCTCAGGAAAACGCCAGTTCATGCCCAGAGTTTTTTCTAACCTGGACCTATTTCAGGAACAACCTTCGCATTTGGTAGCGAACTTCTTTGGAAACAGTCAAAACAGATTTGTTCTTCTGATCTTCATTTAAATATCATGCACTTAATTAACAAATCGTGTACATTAACATTTAAAACGAAAGAGAAAAAATTAAAAAATAAACAACTATGCAATGGAATTTGACTATGAAGACGTGAGCAGATCCGATAGGGATGACATCATTGGGAGGATGCCATCACTGACGGACTTACACAAGCTAACATAACCATGATGTACGCACAGCGTACACCCAAAATCCAAACATAATTAAATCGAATGCCGAAAAAAAGAAAGAAAAAATCGCAAATAACTGAACATATCACAGGTTTTCGTACATTTTCTTACATATTAACATATGTACTGTCAGAAAATAATAAGCTGAATGGCGATGATGATGGTTTTGGTGGTGACGAAACGGTTTATGACAACCTATCGCCACCCGTTTTCATTAACAAACAATCGAAAACAAAAACAATAAACACCGCAAAGTGAGAGATTCCTGACAAATATATGTATGTATATATGCATATGTGTGTACTAGAGCAATGAAATGGCAATTCTACGGGGCTGTTTCAGATGAAGAAAAGCCTGTACGGCATCTGAAGCACCCTGGAAATGCTACGAGATCGGAATGCTTTGTGCGTTGCTTGTGATTGAACCCGTCTGCCGTGCCGAAGGAGCGACACGGGCGGAGCAGGATCAAACCACGCAACTATGAATTTTTTTGCACTACCACGTTTTTCTTTTGAAGGACTGAGCAGGCAACATAGAGCGGTCTGCAGGGTTGGCGCAGACTGAGTGACGAGGGCGGCTACGACGACAATCGGCTTTGGCTCTTCAAAATTGCGAGGATGTCGTCGGGCTGTCGTTCGGTTTTCGCGTTTTGTACGTCTTCGGTGGCAACGGTGGTGGCGTGTCCGGTGATGAAGGCGATGGCACCGTTGCACGTTGTAATGACGGACTGCTGGTCATACGCCTGAACGATCAAAACAATACTATACCACGAAGGATACAATAATATGGTATAGTAATCAATAGACCGGATAAACTTACGTTTTCGGAGGCAGAGGAGGCGGAGTTTGTTGAGCTGCAGTACCGCGGCGAGGCGGTAATGCCGGAGGCAACGGCACTGATAAACGTACCGTTGGTGAATTAGCTTCGCTGGAGGGCCTGGAAATACTTCGCTTAGTAAAGCGTACATCGATCGATAAAATCGAATTCTGAATTTTGTGATTCCTCAAAAATCGATTAAAGAGGCTGGTAATAATTTCAGCCTACTCGTACTGAGCTTATAAGTACTTTCTTCTCAAGACCACCACGAGTACGGTAACGAATTGCTTACGAATAGAAATTTCTAGAGAAACTAAGTCAGTAAATACTAGCATGTAGACATAGACATACCTATCAAGCACAACTCGAAGTTGTTCGTTATTCGACATGGCGGTAGTAGTCGCCGACAAGCGCGGAGGAAGTGCAGGCGGCGGCGAATGTTGTGCGTCCACGGACGGAAACACGAAGGCGGACGGTGTGTGGTCTACAAAACATCAACGACAGTGAGATAGGTTCACATTTCGTAGCCTGTTAGTGTGCAAAAGGAACCGGTTTTTTATAAATAACTTAATTGTGAAGAATTAAACAGAAGTAGAATTAGTTAAAACGATTTCGCTGCCCTATGCATCAATAAATGCAGAGGGGAAGTTCCCAAAATTGATTGTGAGGGTAGATCGCCAATATTAATTGTCTTGTGATCACCTCAACTCAAAGCTGCATTTCTTACTCACAGTAAAGTAATAAAACCAACCTGCGGATAATCGCGAGGGTGTCTGAGGAGACCGATTCGAAGGTGATGAGTTTACAGGCACTGGCCTTCGAGGATGAAGCGGTGGCGCAGTAGTTGGTGCACTGGAAGCTGTAGAAGGCGGTGGTGCTGTAGCAGTGCCAGATTTTTGTGCTTTACGTGGTACTAACGGGGGTGGTTGTAGCTGGCCTGAAAAGGAAATGAATTCAACACCTCAGCCACAACTGTTTGGGTTCTAGCCTGCCATACACAGGAACATTCATGAAAAACAAAGATTCTATGGAATTTCAAAAAGACTTTATCTAAAAATTACTTTCAAGCTGCTCACCTATTTTATGCGTTCGCCTTGGCACATCTCCAACAAACTTTGGATGCTGACCAGGAGTGATATCGACCAAAGAGAAATGGGCGTCGTCGGCGTCAGGCGTTAGGACTGGCGGGCGCGGCCTAGAAAAATGTAGTCAATTTATTGAAAGCGCAGTACTTGACCTAGTCAAATGAACCCTAAGAGGTAGTAGGCAGTTGAAAAAGTACGGTGTTTCACAGTTTCGTAGTTAGTCGCGCACTACAAGACTGGTCGTGTCGGAAAACAGAAGAGTTCAACGGGATATCGACAGACATAGGGGTTTACGGGGGATTGTTTGCTCTTTGAGCCCTCAGGTGATTGACAGACGGACAGACAAGTACAGCAAACAATCTTTATAATTCCGAAAAATTGATATTAACTAAGTGTATCGAGGTACGAAAGGCGTAAGGGTCTCCTTCAGATCTTTTCTGGTACGTCATGAATCCGATATTCTTCCACAACTATTACACCAGGGGAAAAATGGAGACCAGTTCGTATGAGTCCCGATCCTCAGGCAGTGCCTAACAGAATACTACTCCTGAGTACTACACTGCTTTACCCTCGCGAAACATTCTTCTTTTACACAACGGTACCAAGATATCTGCTCAAGAGTTCATCGAAACCACGTGAGTCATCTCAGGATGTCGTAACAATCACATGATTACTCGTACTATTTAGTTCTCCGCTCGCCTCCGGAAATCCGGTACATAGAGTACATTACAACTGGCAAGCGAAACAGGCCCAAACCCGAACTTCAGCTCAGAAAGGTAGCATGAAACCCTCTACACGGGGAGAGGGTCGATTTCCCTCAGATAAATACCCAGTCTGGGATCCTTCGGAGCCCGTACTCTAAAAAATAATATGTTACTCTAGTATTGGCTGTTACTGCTTCACAGCACATGATCCGAGCGCTGCCCATGACTGCGAGATCACTGTAAGCCAACGGATCCTTCTGGAGTTGACAAAAACCTTATACGTACTTGCTCAGTCTAGGTAAACATTACAATAGTTATGTGATTTCTCGATAATGTTCCTTCGAGTCGTTCTTTGTGCAAAGCAACGAAGACGAATTAGACGACGTTTTTCTTCGTACGAAACTGGTAGCGTGTCCGATTTAATTCCCAGTCAATTTATGCATTCTCATACTGATAGATTATTAGCCATTATACCTTTAGAACCAAGTATTTGATTGTATAGAGCAGCTATGAGGCTTTCCATGCTCTTCCGCTACAGTTGTATTCTCGAATGCCCCTCTCGCTGTTACAACTGACAACAGAACACTCTTATGTAGAACCATAGTCAACAACATCGCTGGATGCCGTTACGATTCCAGAAGAGCATCACTGCGTAGCTCTTTAGAATAAGAACTCCAATAGAACTTCATAACCTTAAGCCGCTCAAGCTGATCTGTGACCATCCAGCTACTCATTGTCAGATTCATCCACCGAATGTCTTCGAGAAGAAGCGAGGCAGGACTGAACTGAATTTCAACTTTTGTACGTAGCGCCTCGATTACATCGATTACTTTTTGGAAACTACACATCCGAGCCATTTCTGACGAGATCTTTGTTTTTTTCTCTCTCTATCTCCTTGCCTAACTGACTTTCTCCCCACTCCATTCCGTGGAAGGCAGCTAGCAAAGCTCCCTTGTGATTCTATAAGACTAACTCCTCTGCTCATTCTTTTCCTTGCCTCCTTCTGGCAATGGCAAGAACTTCATAGCAGAGAGAATGGTAGGGACCCAGCGGACGAGAACTGCTCGTGAGTATGTCTGATCAGTGCATGTCTGTGTGTATTCTTATGAATGTGTAGAAAGGGTAAGATCCAACGAAACAAAACGCCATAACAAAGTGCATGGCGGAGACAAATGACGACTATGACGGTGGCGCCAGTCTTTCGTCGTCGCGCCGTCGTCGTGCATGATAATGAATATGCGTCTTTAGAAGAACTGGTTGTTGAGAACGAGTAACTTCACTATCGTCCCAATAACGACACACCGGAAGAGACGGGCAAACGTTGGACGAGCCTACGCAGTGTACGGCGGACAAATGTGCGTCGGAAAATAAATGGGCCCTCCATCTGTCATTATTACTCAAGTTCTCTAACCAGTGAGTGAGGTATCTTATGAGGCAGAGATATGATCACCTACCCTTCACGCTGGTCGCAAACAATGGGGAGGAAATTCAAAAGAAATCAGAAATAACCAAAGAAATTGCTACTACTACCAGATCTCTTTTCTACTTGGAGCAACTCCCAAAGGAGAGCCCTACTAAATAGTTCCCACTAAGTGTACAGGAAAACATGGGTGGGCATATGTTCGAACTGCCACTCACCCTTCTCCATCAGCTCTCGGCGTACTGGGTGCAGTCGACGATTGGGTGCTGTAGCTAGTGGCGGCATGGTGATGGCTGGTCGAAAAATGGTTTGTCTTTGGCGGTTTGATTCCTGGTGACTTCAGCACATGCAGGGCTCGTTTTGGCTTCTGAATTGTTTGGATTATCTTCTGTGAACGGATCTAATGATGAGCACCAGCTTTTTGAGATCCACTTACCACATCCGGCACTTTATCTCCTTCCTTTGGTTGCACTTTCAGCGATTTCTCATACAGATATGTCTCCAGGGCATCACCGTCATTGTTAAAGTCACTCTTCGGGTTGATCGACTCGAAGAACTCCTGAAATCATAAATTTTTCAGAACCGAGTGATGGAGGTTTCGAGAAGGATAAGAATAACCAGACTACGTATTTTTGATTCTCGCTACTTAAAATACATCGCAGTTGAGGTTTGGGATTTACAGGAGCAGTTTGGATCCCCATGACGAGCTTAGTGGGTACCGGAAGCCTTCGTATTTTCCCCAATCCCAACATTGATGAACAGTTCAGCAGAATTTACGGTCGAATACTTTGAGGGGAGGAAACGGTAGTGGATATTGATTCAGGCTAAAGCATCTGTACAAGTAATGGCAGCATCATATACCTTGAAACACTTCATATCAAGGCCACGAACGCGGCGCGGTACGGTCGACGAGGACGAAGACACTGTTCGTTCACATCCCGACCCAACGGAAGAACTCGTGATATCGATTCAAAGTTTTTAGAGGAAGTCATTTAGATTTGATGATTGTTACTTCAGTACGTTGTACACCACCGCAACCGGTGCTAGTCGGCCTTCATCGATAACAAGTCAAATAACCACATTGGCATTTGATAAAGAACCCCGACTGCACTAGGTTATTCCCCACTAGAAACTAAAACGGATCTCTATACTTTACAAATTTTCACACTTCCAACTAGCAGCTAGCTTGGGAACGGGGGAGTGGGAGGAGGCGCGAGGGGATCATTCAACGTCAAAAAGTAATCAATTGTTTATATGATTTTCGATACTATTTTGTTTATTATATTTTGTGAAGTTTAGTTTATGAGTAAAGGTTTTTAATTCCACAAATAAAGAAATTAATTTATACTTTAACATCCGATGGAGTGACTGGCGGCGACTGAGGACAGCAGCAACACAGATGTGCGGACAACATTGTCTCATACCACTGGGTCTTCCTGTAGATTACTTTCATTCTTACGTTACCTCTAGGAAAACAAGACATAAGGTCGATGGGAGCGAGAATGGAATAGAACTTAATGAAACGACAGGAATAGACAAAATCGAGGGATGAGAACGTAAATAAACCAAATGGCTCTGAGAGATAAGATCTCCATCACATACCCACAATTACTGCAAAGTAGAGCAAATCAAAACATGCCCGAAACGCAGTGGGCGGAGCTATGCACAGGTGGGTGGAGTCTATGAATGGGAATATGTATGCGTCAGTGTATGTATACGTGCATTTGTGTAAACCTGCCAATGTTGTTGGCTAGCTAAGCAATCACTACTTCCGCCTAGTTGAGGAGGCAACAGCAATTCGACAAATGTCATACGAACGGAGCTGATAGGTTTCTCACGATGATATAGTCATTCACATTGCAACGGAAGCTTTGCAAGATGTCATAGAGAAATCCGAGGGATAGATTGGACAAATTGATGCCAGAGGGCACGTTGAGTATCATACAAATCGCTAGCTATTAATTATTGTAAAAGCTGAGTTGACGAAGCCATAAAAAGCCATGAAGCTAATGCCTAGACTTCCGGTCAGACTTGGGCTTATCTCTGACCACCCACTCCGTTGTGCTTTTGTGGAAATTCACATGAAATGATGGAACAGGAGAAGCAGGACAGCTTCATCGTTCACGTGAATCTTTTCCACAAAAAAAAAACGATGAGCGACCCAGAAGTCAGGGAAAAAAAACTGAACCCGAAAACTCGTAAAGAATAGCCAAATCCTGCCAATGTTCGCATCCTCAAGCAAATCTGATTCTGATCTAGCTCTAAGCGAAATTATGCCATAAGTCCAGGACTGGGTACAGGCATGTACCTATCAAATATGCCCACATACCCAGGAGCTACTGGGATCCCATTTGAAGGTAAGCTTCTAAGTCATGAAGCTTTTCCGGGAGCTGTGGAATCGCCAAGTATGGTCACTACACTCTGCACAGCTTGAACGGCGACAATAACAGACCGTAATGCTGCCGCCGACATGACGGATGACACTCCGTCTTAATCATATCTTATTGAGAACGACAATTCGTCGAATCGCTGCAACGCCTACCTAGACAGCTGATCAACGACTATGATGGTGGTACGAAATCGCACCGCTGCTGTCGGTCAGGAAAGTGTTTGGGAACGCGTAAAACTCGCAGCTTAGTATCTCACATGATCATCGACGATCATTATCTTCCAGCCTTTTTATCAAAACCCAACTGCACCACCTCTCCAACTACAACAACAACCAGCCCCTTTGACCGATCGACGTACGACGTAACCGGAAACACGTGCTCAGTTAAGGGGTCAGGCCTAGCACCTTGTGATTCGCAGCCGAAAATATCGATGCGACATAAAACTGTAAAACAATCGGCATTAGCAGCCGGCAAACAATCCGCTACTGGGAATGCACTTGATTGCCGGTCGGCTCCCGAAAGTGCAACAGTCAGGCGATCACAGGTGTCAAACCGGAAAAGAGAACAACAAACACATTAATTTGATGAATATTATTAGAGAATAGATAGAAAAGGAGGAATTTGCGGAAATTCCCAGAAAAGGAACGAGTAAGCGGCAGAAGTATGGATCGAAATGATTCTGCAATGTAGTAGATACCGGACGTGATGGGACATCAACGACTCCTCGACCGGAAGTGATGGGCGTGGTCAAGTTGGGGTGAACGCGTTTTTACACGTTCATGCATACCCTAATGTAACGTGTTTTCCCGTGGCTGAACATGTTCAACTTGTCAGAAGATGCGCCCGCGTTGCACACATCGAACGATAACACATGCTGTGCTTTTACATGTCCGCCATCACTTCCGGTGACGGACGAGTTTTAGGGATACGGTAGCCACCGTCGAACGGTGTTCTGTCCGTGATTGTACCCAACCAACCTTAGAGCCTGCACAGACAGGCCACTCCTTCATGATAGATAACTACAAAAAGGTCAGTTCCGGTTGAAAAAAGGGGACATTATTCATAGCATTGGAGGTTGGTCGAAAAAAGTTCACCTTTCCCAAATCGTGACCAGCTTGACAACTCCCATAGGAAGGCGCCTACGCAGGTGGCAATCAAATCATACAGTCAGGGTTAGCAGCCGAGCTCCAACGCAACTACCTTCGCATCTTTTTTCAAGTTCTTGAGCTGGGAAAAACCTCTCTGCCAACCTCCTTCCAGTATCCCAACGAGGAAGAGAACAAGGAGCCCTTCCCGAGGATGAGATAGGAGAAACTCACTTTGGTTCATGCCAAATTCTCAATTGCCCCCAGTCATACCTCCCATTCTACCTGTTCCCCGATAAATTCGCCCAATTACCTTATTGCTGCTTCTCTGCAAAGGAACCAGACCCCATAGCAAACGAGTAACTAATTCACTCATTTTATGACCGATAAACATGGTCATACCAACATCATAACACAAATGAAAACTACCGTAGTACATAAACAGATGCTAAGTTGAGACACTACCGGAACCTATTCCCGTTTTCGCAGTTCGCCAGTCAGCCATCAGTCGACCAGCGTTGACTGACGCGCTGAAACGATCATAACACTAATGCCTAATGTGCTTTAATGGTCAGAGAATTCCAGAGCGTTCCCGACCGACACGACAAACAGGGCGTCGACAAAGACAACGAAGCTTAATGGCGCCGACTGACGCCAGCACACATACAGAATACCACCAAACTAATGGAACTCCGATGTAGCCACCACCACCATCACCGCCGTCGTCGTTGTTACAGTATGTCCGTTCTGCGGCCACGTTTTATGTCCGTGTTTACGGATTCGAACAAAAGGAATTTCCTCCAAGACTGGTTTTGTGTTTAAATAGACACAAGTACTTTACCAAGGGTCTTTCTAACTTATTGTCGGCAATGAAATAAAAGTAAGTGCTGGATGTTTCAAGAGATCGCCATGTCAATTTCTAAGAGACGTTCGTCAGCGATTATCGATACAACTTTTTTGAGAGCGAACTTCGCTGCGGTTTTAGAAAATATGCTTCAGAAGGCAGTTTGGCCTACAAGAACTCCGGAAAACTTTGTAGATAGTCCAGAAATAACTTCAACTGTGGTTCAAAAGTGATTTACTGTGACGAAAAGTGGCCAAAATTCAAAGGAGCATGAACATAGAAATCCGTACATGAAGATGGCACAAACTGGATCGTGAGTGTTCGGCAATAACTGAAGATTAACTGAATTATACAAAGAAACAGTATTTGGGCCTGTAACTGCGACTGAGAAGCACTGAATATGAACCTGATCCCCTTCTCAGAACCTTCCAAAAAGTGGAAGAACTCATGAAATTCCTGAGTAATTTTTCAGCCTTTTCGTTAAAAAAACCTATAACTCAATCCGAGGTTCCAAAAAAAATCTCGTTTATTTCACAACCTGTTCAAAACCTAATCGGTCATGCACTACACAGCCTGCGGTGGTGGAGCGGTGTGATTAATGGTCCAAGGTGTATGGTTTGATTTTTTCTGGATCTCACCGTTTTTTTTATCTCGAAAGACTTTACAAAATTCCAGAAAGCTTTTTTTTT